AACTGTCGCGGTCATGGTCGATTAGTGGCTGGGGAGAAAATGGACGTCGGCTGATGATGTTACGGCCTTTCACGACGCATGTAGCTGCTCGCAGTATCAGCATCACCACCATTGGCGGCGATTGTACGACAGCAGACAAGAGTGGGGGAACGGCGGGGTGAAGGTCATACAAGTGCGAAGGTCATCATTGGTCACATATCTTGACGCTATCGAACGACATTGCGACATTACTAGTTAGATGTTTGATAACACTCTGATCTGATCGCTCTGATCGTTTGTGAACAAGATCGAAGCGTCAACTAAAGCATGTTACTAGCTAGCGCATGGAGTCGAACTCATCTGGCGTCATGTTAGGGCGCAGTGCTGTCGTTGACTGCGTCGTTATGTCGGCTTATTGCTTAGTTGATTGACTATGGTCGCCAGAATTGCAAACACCTTAACGTCTGCCACCGTCACGCACCATTATCCATTACCAGAGAGCATTCATTTGTTGAGAGATACATTGTCCACCATCATCACGTTGTCGCTCCCCAGGCGACGTCTCAGCAAGAAAATCCGTACACTTGGGACATTTCGGCTCAGTTCATCGCTTCTTCGGTGATGTCGCTGACGCTCAGTGAGGGAGGTGGCTCAGAGATTGAGGTGAGCAATGCCTGTTATCAGTACCACCAACTGGGGGCCTGGCGTGCTTCGCATGTCTCAGAGATCGATGTAAACGATGCATGTTGTCAGTACCACCAACAGGGGTCTTGCGCTCTCAGAGATCGAGTTGAGCAATGCATCAATAGCCTGCCATCAATACCACCAACTGGGGCCTAGTGTGCTTCGGATATACAGGTCTTAACAGAACGCGGACCCATGTTTATCTATGTTCAGTGGTTGGTTCCATATGACACGTTCATGTCTGAAAATGAGACTAAAGCCTTTGCACATAAATGTTAGTCACGCATTTGTGTAAGATCATACAATACATTGTATTTTTTCGACAAGCGAAACGACTTTTTGCATTGGAAGAAAGTTCGCGGTTGTTTCTTTTTGTACTTCCTCAACGGATAGACATGTTGAGCGGAGGTGCCCGAGATCCGTGCCAAGAAGCTGAGTAGCGACTGAAGACGCTACGCCGCGCCAGCACTTGAAGGGATGTCTTCCGAGCAGTCCCTCTACACGTCCCAGTATTGGCGTCACCAGCAATCGGAGAGCCTTGTGACTGATGTCAGCTTAGAGGGACAATTCCCAGTATCGATGCATGGATTAATTCATTACACATTCACCACATATCATATCAAAGATGATCCCAGTCGGCATTAATTCTGGAAATCGGTGCATCTCCGAATCGCTGTAATTATCGCCAACGCTTCGGCACTTGGAGCTCTGAAATCATTCAACCAATGTTCGTGCTTTGACCGTTTTATGTCCATTTGTACGTCTCCTCATATCTCAGCTCAAATGCACAGTAATTATCGCCTGTTAAGTGCTAATTTATTGCCCTGCTTCCCTTTTAATCCACGCTGTGTGAGATCGTCTGATTCCTTCACTATCTCAGGTGGACGGCCTTCGGGATCCCATTGGGATTCGCATGAATTTGGGTGAGCGAAGTCGGCCGCGCCGCCGCGTTGTCCGGCCCTATAGCAATGGCGACAGCAACTACGAGACGGTACACTTCGTCAACGTCACCAGCAACGACAGCAGCATTCTCTTCCAGATGAAGTACGCTGACCAGACCTTAAGTCCTTGCTTACTGCAAATAGACACGTGCACAAGAATGCGTACCGCATGAGTGGCGTTGTCTCTGGCAATGTTTGACGCTCGCCGGTCTGGCAATGGCTGTTGATTGCTCGAATTCATTGTGCATTACCTTGATCGAAAGTGTGAGTGCGTTGACCGGACGCCATCAATATCGAAGCTAAACCAGATGATCGATCAGTGCCAGAGTCACTGGGCAAACCGAGCTCCACCGCCTCCGCGTCCATTCCCGCGCGCACCCATGCGGATCGACTGACACGGCGCCGGTGACCGGACAGCGCCACGGACAGCGACGCCGTCTTCTCCGTGTGGGTAGCGAGGGGCCGCCGTGCGTCCCCCACCGACTACGACTTCCTCTTCACGGTCCCGCACCCGCCGCTCGACGACACCTGGTACCTGGACGACATGGAGCGCCGGGTACGGACGCCGACTGGGAGCTGACCTGCTCCGGTTCAGCCACCGAGCTCATCCGTTCCTCTGTCGCGCCGCTCAGAACATCAGAACGGGGTTGTGCTTGTTGACTGGTATTGCG